CCTCCACGTCTCAAGGGTCGCTGGAAAACACGAGCTCCGGCAAGCCGTGCGTGAAAACGACGACCACCACCACCGACGACCACGATTCCGTCTGCCACAGCACACCTCAGGCAAGATTTAATTTCCCAAAAAATCCTTCACTAACCCATCATTATTCTTTAATTTAAATTTCATAATGTAGATTTACACGTTTGATTTTTTTCAAATCACAATCATTTTATGCTATTTTAATTTTTATTGTTTGAGAACCAAAATTAAAACGTAGTTTTCTTTTTCTAGTTCAGAAATCAAAGTTAGAAACTAAAAATGGGATTTTTTTTATTGGTTTAATATTCAATTTTTTTCTTATATTCAAATTCTAGATTTCCACGTCTAATTTTTTAAAATCACAATCATTTTTTGCCATATATATTATCGCGTATTTTCGTTTTGAAACCAACCAAAATGGACTCCTTTAGTTCAGAAATCAAAGTTAGAAACTAAAAAAGGGATTATTTATTTATTGTTTTTTTACCGCAATATTTTTTTGTATTTATTTATTGGTTGAATGTTTGATTTTATCTATTTGGGCTATGATTTTGAACACGTGAAGGGAGAAGAAGACGATGAGGCGGACAGAAAGAAAGAGAATGCGAAATCCTCGGGTTCTACTAAAAGAAGTAGGGCTGCAGCAATTCATAACCAATCTGAACGAGTACGTAATTTCTTATTTTTTTAATTATTTTTCTTCTCTCTTCTCACAAAGATTCATAAATGGAAATTTTCTTGTATAAATTATTATTATTATTATTATTGTTTATAGAAAAGGAGAGATAAGATTAACCAAAGGATGAAGACATTGCAAAAGCTGGTCCCAAATTCCAATAAGGTACAAATCCCAAATTTGCTGTGTTCCTTTATTTTATTTAAGGGTGATTTTAGATACTAAGGAGTTTATTGGACATGGTTGCGATAACGTTGGTCGATCGAAAACAATTTTCAAAGAATAATGTTAGATCCATCCGTTTCACCAAGTTAGATCTAAAAGCACTTTAAAGTGAAGTGTTTTTAAAAGGATCAAGTGGGTGTTTTGAAAATGGTTCCAAGTGATCTAGTTTTGTGGTTTTTTTATTATTCTTTCTTCGGGTAGGGATATGATGTGGAATTGTGAGTTTACAATTAAGGCCAAGTTTGAGATAGAAGAGGGCCATGGGGTATGTTTGAAGTTTGAACCAAGGCCACAAAGGGCATTTGGAAAGATAAAGAAAAGAGAGTAATTGGAAGGAATAGGACAGGTGACATTAAAACCTTCTGGTCAGTTGGGCCCTATTGCCTTCATTTCAATTTTTTTTTGTTTTGTTTTTTTTAATCCTATTTTTTAGAAAATTTTATAATTCTATTTTAATTTTGAGTAAAGAAAACAACTCTCATTATACTATTGACTTTTGTCCAATCTTCTCAAATTGAAAGAAAAGTAGTTACCCACATGTACTTTATGACCTATAAATAGTAGTGTGATCCACTTATTGAATATAATCAATATAGACCAATACAAATAAACTACTTAAGATAGTAATTAAGAGTCTAATCTTTAGATACTGTACATATATAGACCGACAAAGCTTCGATGTTGGATGAAGTAATTGAATATTTGAAACAACTACAAGCTCAAGTGCATATGATGAGTAGAATGAACATGTCAGCAATGATGTTGCCGATGGCAATGCAACAGCTTCCGATGGCGTCATTGATGGCTCCGATGAGCTTGGGGATGGGCATGGCGGGGATGGGGATGGATCATTTGAACATGATTGCCGGTCGGCCCGGCCTTACCGCTGGAATGTCTCCGCTCCTCCACCCTAGCGCCTTCATGCCCGGTGCTTCTTGGGATGGGGCGACTTGTGACCAAATGCAACCTTCTCCAACGATGATGATGGCTGATCCCTTGTCAACATTTCTTGCATGCCAATCGCAGGTGACTATTTATATAATAGTTGAAATAGAAGATATTTCGGTATTAAATATTAAAATACTAGTTTGGTCCATGTAATTTTAGCTTTTGTTCGTTTTAGTCTTTATATTTTGAAAATGTTCCTTTTGGTCCTTATACTTTTAAAAATAGATCATTTTGGTCATTTCATTTTATTTTAAATCTTATTTTTTCTGTCACAATTTCAACACTACATTATAATCAATATATTTCTTAAAATGTAAACAATATTACTTTATACTAAATATTTTTCTTTACGTGTAAAATTTGTGTTAAAATCTTGTAAAAAGTGACTAAAATGATCATGATCAAAATCAACAAAAGTTATAGTATAGGGACTAAAATGAACAATTTTCAAATAGATGGACTAAAATGAACCAATGCTAAAAATATAGGGATGATCAAAATAGTATTTTAACCTATTACGATATATTCAATATTATATATGTATTTCTAATTCTATGCAGCCAATGACAGTAGAAGCGTACAATAGAATTGCCATGATGTTTCAACAACTTCATCAACACTCGCCCTCGACGGGTGGCTCAAAGATCTAGCTATTTAATTACATCTTCTAATAATTTCTTTGGTTCCACAAGGAAAAAGAATGTTGAAATGTGTGATAGAATGTTGTGTTCCATTCGATTTAGAAAAGGAAAAAAATAGAAAAAAGAAAAAAAAAAGGGAAAATGTAAAGTACAATAGCTGTGTTTAAACTTTTGCGTTTTGGGGTATATCTTGTTGATCTTTATCTTCTTTTCACCCCTATTTGGATTTAGACATTTTTGTCCCTCTCTTAGTTGTTGGATTGCCTTGCTTTTACTATTTCTTTGGAAAAAGAAAAATAAATTGCAGAAAATGTCAAATTGGTCAAAGAGGAGAAGTGTGTACTTTGGTTCTACTTATGAGTATTGGCTTGTACTTTTTTTTTCCTTCTTAGCTCTTATATCTCCCTAGTCATTTATTCTAGTTTTCTAAGTAAATTTATATTATCTTCACTTATTTCTACTTGTGAGTTAAATTATTTGACATAGATTATGTGCACGCTATTAGCGAGTTTGATATGGTATTCATATGGATGATATTTTTTTTTTAGTACTAACACAAGTGGGTGGGGGGCTCGGGGAATTTAAACTTATGACTTGTCGGAGATATGTGTCAATTATCGTTGATCAGTCAAATTCATGTTGGCGTATTCATACGGCAGAATGAATATATTGAAATTCAATGGTTATTCATAAATTTTGTTTAAAATGTAGAGTTTGGATAAAAGCATTTAAAAGTACAAAATTAAACAGAGCTTATAAATGTTCATTGCACGTCAAAATCTTTTTGCTTATTGCAATATGAAATTCAACATATGTATGTTATCACATATATTGGCATAACATTGATAATTACGTTTGAGCTTAGTTCAACTCGGTGGTAATTAACACCTATCTCTGACTCAAGAGGTCATGAGTTTGAATCCCTACCTTCACTTGTTGTACACATACAAAATAAACATTGATATTTACATGGTAATATATTGACTCTTAAGGGCCGTTTGTTTTTTGAAAATGTAGATGTCCGATATCTATAGATGCCTGGAGTTTTAGACTCCGACATCTTCAGAAAACCACGTTTGTTTCGTAGAAAAATTTATAAGGATATTCGGAAATATTTGGATAGTCACGTTTGTTTTGCACGATTTATTGTTAGGAATGTGTTAAATTTATAGAATGTTTCAAAAATATCCTTACGAATATTTATGTAATTTATAAATTCATTTAATATAATAGATTTATTTGAATTAATTTTTTTATATGTTATTTTGTAGAACAAATTAATTCATATTAACTTAATATATATTCTATTTTCAACTTTAATACTTTTTCAAAAAGACAATCATATCATTATGCTATCTTGGGTGAAATTTATTTATCATATCATCACATTATATTTTTTTTAAGAGGAAAAAATATCATAGGTATGTTGATTGTAAAAAAAATATTGCTTTAAAATTATATATTTATGATAATAAATATTATTAATAATGTAATTCCTTCCAAATATTAAAAATAAATGGAGATATTATATAATTCAATTACAATTTATTTTACATTTAAATCTAATATACAAATATACTTAATAGCATAAAGTTGTCTATTAGACTATAAGTACATTAATTTATTTAAATTATAAATTAAAAAAATTTAATTTGAGAAAAAATTAAAAAAAATTGATGAAAGAAAATATATCAAGAAAAAATGAAGGGTAAACATGTAAAAGGTAAATGCCCTAGACACGGGAATCTTGGAAAACTCGTGTTTCAAAAGGGCATCCAGAACTCGTAAGATGCCTCCTGTATGGGTATCGTAGGATACTCGGGTATCTCAAGATTCTCGGGTAACTTAGATTCCTGCAAAACAAACGTGGGACTAGATGCTCGTCCAACAGGAATCTCGAATTCCCACGAAACAAACGGCCCTTTAGTGATATGTTACAACATATGTCTATTAATTTAACTAACATTAGAGACTACTTATGAGATCGTAGCATATTGAGATCGCTCTAAAGTAAAATAATTAAAGTAAGCAAGAATCATAATAGAAAGAACCAAGAATTTAAATATGGATGTTAATAAATTATTTTGTTAATCTTTTTATAATTTTCATGTACTAGTGAGGAACACATGCGATTCACGTGCAATTTATCATTTTATTACTATTACTTTAAGAGCAATTTTGTCCTATAGATACAAATCTCTATCTTCTCTATTTCTCTAATTTTTATCTCTTTCTAAACACTATCTCTCAATCTTTAGCAACTTTTTCTCTTTGGATCCCCGCCCTCTAATTTTCTCTATTTTTTTTTCATATGTTTCTAAATACTATCTCTTCATCTTTACAAATTCTAAATGAATTTAAATAAATGATAATTTGAGTAAGGAATTTGGATGAATGAAGAAAAAATGGCCTAAGAGTAAATGAGAGAGAAAAATAATGAAAATAGCAAGAGAGAGTCAATTGTAGTCTTTTAAGAGAGAAAATTATTTGAGAGGTGGAGAGGATATTTTGAACTTAAGGAGGAATGGCACGGGGAGGGGAGGAGATAATTGGGGAAATTTGAGGGAATTTGGAAAGAGAGTGGCTGGCGTGGAGAGAAACGAGTGAGAGAATTGGTGGAATTTGAGTGAATTTGGAGATGGGAGAGAGATTAATGCAAAATTGGTAATAGAGAAAATGATTATAATTAAATGGTAAAATGAGCAGGGGCGGAGCTACCTAGGATCCAGCCCCCCTCAGCTTTTTAGATAATAGGTTTAGTATATAATAATCTACCAAAATTACAAAATTTATAATTTGTATTTTTGTTTATTTTTCGTAATTCTTATTTTTTCTCTTTTTTTAAATTAGTATTCTTCCGGTGCCTGTGTTCAATCTTAATTCACGATTTCCCCATCATTTTTCCTATATAGGCTTTTTCGTGAGTTTTATAGAAGAAAATAAAATCATCAATTTTATTTTTGAAGAAGAAAAAGAAATCATATTAGGTCCATTTTAAAAAAATGAAAAATTAAGAGAAATTGTAAATTTGCTATGTCAAATATATATATATAAATGTTGGTGGGACCTTTATGATTTAATTGCTGTTGACAATTCAAATGTTTTTTTTTTCATTTATACATTGTCGTTGTCAGATGGGTAATAATTTTTTTTATAAATTCTTCTACTGATATATTTTTCTCCTTTTTAATTCATCATTTTTTATATTCAACTCTTCTTATTTTATATAAGTTTTAATAAAAATTGCCAATTTTAATTGTCCGTACATTTTATCTTTACACTTTATAAATTATTAGTTTCACTATTTGGAGATTAATTTTTAATCTTACTATTATTAATGTTCTGGTAAAGCCAACATCATGTGAAACTTATCTCCAACTAAGAGATTGTGAGTTTGAAGCCTCTACTCTCATTTATTGTACTAAAAAAATTAACGTTCGATAGATATTTTACTTAAAATTTAGAAAATCTACTGGCAATTCTTACTAGATTCAAAATTACTTTTATGCATTCTCACCTGTAAGTAGTATGAAGCCCCCCTCAACAAAATTCCTAGATCCGCTATTGAAAATGAGGAGATAAAGTTTCTGAATATTGTGCATTTTGTATATAATATAGATCTTCCACGGTACAATAGAAATTTCAATTGCTTCGATTTTAAAAATTTCAATAAACTAAAATGTTGATGCAGAAATCAACATGTCAACGCATATTTAAAATTAAAAAGAAAGTTTCATTTGCATCCAAATGAAAAGAAGTTAAATAAAGAAAAAAGTGAATTTGATTAGGTCAATTTAAGCATAGATCAATTGGTTAATATACCTATCTCCGATAAAAAAATCGTGATTTCGAATTCTCACTCCTACGTACTTAGAAAAAAAGATTAAGACTGGTATGTCTTCTGTGTTCCTCGCAAATCCAAGGCAATGTGATCTTTTTTCTCTTCTAATTTTATAAGAACAATACTTTTATATAGATTTTTAAAATTGACACATGTTCCAACTTTTTCTTAATCGTCGAGTTTGACCTTTAATCAACAAGTAAATTTGATGACTGCTTAGTTTACTTTTGTCGGGCTCTAAAGTACTTTCCATTGAACTTTTTCATGTTTTGGAAGGTAATGTATAATGCTTAATTCTCAAAGAAATTTAAAAATATCTTAAAAAGGATTGTGTGAATTATTATTATTTTACAATGTGGAGTCCAAAGTCATTGATTTAATTATGTTGTTCTAGCGAAAAAGTATCATTTAATCTTAAAATTGTTGGAGAAATATGCATAGAAAATTTAAGGAAACACAAAATAAAAAATCCGAACCCAACGTAGCGTTGTTTATGTTTTAGCATCAAAACCCAAGTAAATCTTGAAAAATCATCAACTATCACAAAGGCATAATAGTTCCCTCCAAAACTAGCAATTCTAGAAGCGCCAAATAAGTCCATGTGTAATAGTTGTAGGGGTCTTGTAGTAGAGATCATATTTTTAGATTTGAAAGAAGACTTGGTTTGCTTACCCAGTTGACAAGCATCACAAATTTTATCTTTTTCAAATTTAAACTTGGGAAGACCTCCAACCAAGAATTCTTGGAAATATTTGAAATTAAGGGCATGCTAGCATGTCCTAGTCTTCTATGCCATAACCAAGAATCATCATGCAAGACCGATAAACATTTATCACTAATAGGACAATCATTCAAATCAATAGTATATACATTTTCATCTCTATTTCCAACAAATAAACTTTTCTATCACTAGCATTTTCAATGATGAAATTCTTTTTATCAAACACAACTCTAAATCCTTTATCACACAATTGACTAATACTAAGTAAATCATGCTTTAAACCATCAACCAAAAGTACATCTTCAATCAAAATAGAAGATTCATTACCTATACTACCCTTACCTATTATTTTACCTTTCTTGTTATCACCAAAGGTTACAAAACCTCCATCCTTTTTGGAGAAAGTGACAAACTTGGATTGGTCTCCCGTCATGTGCCTTGACCAACCACTATCCAAGTACCACTTACTTTTCTTGGAAGCTTTCAAACAAACCTACAAACACAAAAAAAATTTAAATTTGATCATTTGGTACCCATACTTGTTTGGGTCCTAGAAGGTTAGCATTAACAAACTTGGGGATCCGTTTCATTTTTGCATTTTTATTGAAAGCATAAGATTTAGACAAGTAAAAAGAATAAGATTTATGTCCATACTTGCCACATGAAAAACAAACAATATTAT